TGTCGGTGGGGTCGGTCGCTGGTGCTGAGGAGGTTTTCAGCTCTTTGGAGGGCTTCAGAAAATTCTTAGAGTCCAGAGCGCTCTGTTGAGGCGGTTTAATGGTCTCAGCAAGTTTTCCACGCGGTGGAAATAAAACAGTGCAAGCTTCTTTGTTTGCTTGTTTCATCCACCATTGTTTGAGTTTGGCGAAGATATTTCTGCTGGAATATTGTAAGATAATCACAGTTTTGGGGAACTTTGGTGTTTTGGTTGAAGGAGGCCGGGGAGGTAAGCAAAATGACCTGTTCCTAGCACTGCGTGCCGGGGGGTGAGTACAAGCGCCGGTGTTCATGTGTCACCTTGGTCTTGGGATTGACAGCATCCCATCAGCAGTTACTGCAGCGGAGTCGAGGCTGCTGAAACTTGAAGAGGATTTAATGAAGACATGCCAATGTGATTAAAAACTATCGTAGAATTAAGTTCTTTGTGTTTATATTCTGGGCTATGGCACAAGACTAGAATTACTCCAAGGAATTATAGTCTGGCAGGCAAAGGTGGAATGAATTCCAGTGAGTGGATTTTGAATGGAGAAACTTGTCTCGAAAATGAGAAATACTTAAGAAAGAGTAGTTAACAACTGGAAGCAAATTTCTAGGTCTCAGATGAATTTGATGAATTTATGGTATTTTGTCTTTTACAAATAATTTTCCTGAGCATACTGGGTTGGAGCTCTGGGGTTTTTGTAATCTTGACTCAAGTAAATGTGATCACATGACTTGTTTGAACTTCTGCAAAGAATGGAATACAATGGCATGAGGAATGATTAGTGAGGAGATAATGAGAAACTGTAAGAGGTAAGAAGTCTAAAGATAACATAATAAAGCACACTGAATAGGAGGCTGCTGGATTAAATTACTGTCCTGGTCTCACTGGGACAGAACCATAGGCCAGCCGTGGTGTGCAGACCATTGGCAGTTTTGAATGAGCCAGGGCAGCTGCCCCCATTTTGTACCAAAATGTGGTTCTTTACCTGAGGTGCAAAATCCAGTCCACACACAGAGCTGCAATATTTCAGAGCTGAAGTAATTTATTCCAATTCTGCACAGAAAAAGGGTGCCATGTGGTAATTTGCAAGGCTAGCACACCTTGGAGACATGAGCCGGGTCTTATACGCAAAATAATCACAAAGAAGAAATTACAGTAGAGTAAATGATTGGTCAGTCATTTTGTCACTCTTAGCTTTACACGTGAGGAGAAGAATTTAGCATTCCCTCACGTGGTCTTTTAGGACCATCCCAGGTGATACCTCCTTGTTTTTGTTTTTGGTAGTACCCTGGGTGTGTGGAGGGGTGGGCTGCACACGTTGTAATTAGCTAGGTAAAGGGGACCATTTTAGCAATCCTTAATGTTGTTGCTGCTTTTACAAGAAGCTTTGTGGCCTGTTTTCGCCCCTAGGCCTAGTGAAACCTTTCAACAACCTGAGCTGGCTACAGGTGAATCTCATGCCATAAGTCATGCTCATTATAAAGTTTGCAGAGGACAGGGAGTCCTTCAGATTCTTCTCCTTCTTCCTCCTGCTTCTCTCTGTTCCTTATCATTCTGCTGGGAGCAGAATTCCTGGTTATTGACTGCTGTACATTTGCTGGGCTGTGTCTAACTTCATATACCTTATGTTGGCATTGGTATTAATTTTGCTGTTTTTTGAATTCCATTTCAAACCACGGGTTTCCTCTCCTTTTCCCAATCCCTCTTCTCAGCTGGGGAGGGGTCGTTGGGTGATAGAGCAGCTCTGTAGTTAGCCCCAGGTACAGGCTAAACATAGACCATTATTAATGATACTGCTCTGTGCTCAGCCTCGGGATGTGGCAGTGAGGGAAACACCCAAATTTCGTGAAGACTTAGGTGGGAACCAGAGATACTGTCAACACAGAAGCAGGTTAGAATATCTCCTGCGAAGAACAGACTTCTGGGAACCATACTAGTAGAAACAACGAATTAAGTTGTACACAATGCAAGGTTCCGTGGAACTGGGAACTAGTAACAAATTTGGAGTTTGTTCCTGCTCTGTTCAGCAACAGATGGAAGAATTTGGGATATTAGTGCTGTGAGATTACGAAGTCAGAAGTGTAAAAGTCTTTGGAAGGAGCTATAAATAATGATTCACTGCCAACAGGTCGATTCAAACTGAAGCAAGTGCAGAAGGGTAGAAAAGCTAAGGGAATAACATGAGCTATTTTATTAGGAGATAAATGATATTTTATATAGCTCGGTGCACTGCTGAGTAGAAATAACTAGGTTACTTGGGATTAAAGATTTGAGACAGCATGGCAAGGTGACATGCCTTGTATGCCTTACCCAACCTTGGCAGGATATTATGATCTATATACCTGAACTACTACATGGCAAGGAACTGGATTTCTGGAATTTCTAATGAAAGGCTGTGATTAGAAGTGCATTTGAGTTGCTGTAGGGAGGAAAGCAATTTATGACCGAGGCCACTATGAACAAATGAGCTAGCAGAGAAACTGTCCTTGGGGTGGGAAGGGAGAACAGACTGGAGGAAAGACTACTAAGGCTACATCTCTTTCTCTTCATCTGCATCACTTGTGAGTAACTGCAGCTGAGGCTCTGTTTTCCACACAGTACACATTTCAAGGTTTCTTTTTCTTTAGAATAGCTTTAAAGGAATTCAGTTTGTGTTCTTAAGACTGCTCCACTGTACAAATCAAGCTGAGAAAGTTTACTTTAAAAATGCACCCCTTCTCTGCATTGAAGCAGTGAGGTAGACACATCTTAAAAGAACAGAGAAAGCTGAAAGATCTCAAGCTACTTGCTAAGAGGACTCCTTTTTCCTCTGGAATCACTCAGCTACAGTATTCTGCCTGATTTTGGAATTTCCAAGCTCTGGCTCCATCTTCAGGACATGATATTAGTGATTATCTCTGTCACTGAACTCCTCCAGATTCTTTCTGAAATTGGGCTCTTCTCTGCTGGGAAAGGTGCATGAACTGGTGATTGTAGCAAGTGGTACTTTACTGCTATTCTGAGCAATGTTCTCTTTTACTTGCTGTTTTGGCTGTAAGAATTAGAAGCTCTTCTATCACCTCTCCTCACTGAAGCAGCAGTAAATGATTTTCAAAGCCTAGATTACAATATCCTGCTTGATATTAGCTTTGGTAATCATTTGGGCTGTTTAATTACTTTGTAATTAAAACCCTGATAACACGGGGTCTAGCATATCTCCAGCCACACTGTGGCAGTGCTGGAGCAAGACTGACTTGACTTTTCCCCTCTCCTCCAGCTCTTATTAATGGCCTCTCCACAATACCTGCACACCAGAAAAAAAGGGTGTATCTCTGCCAGCTTCTGATAAGAATTGAGAAAGGAAAAAACCTTGGTAAGTACTTTCATTCCTTTTTTTTCACTTGTTTAAATAGATTTGTGTGAATATTAGCTATGTTGTCAGTCTTTCAGCTGGCAGCAGGTCCTTAAGATTCTTGCTCACCACTATGTATCCTGTTTGGTTGTACTCACAACTTGCTGATCTTGCTTCCATGCTCAAGTTTCTGGATTTCAATTCAATTTCTGGTCTTACCTGTTTTGCTGCAAGTTTCCACTGCTTGATAAAACTCATTGAACTCAAAAGCAGTCTTGCCAGCATGAGCATAGAAGGAAAAGGTATATTCTACCCTACAAGTTCCACAAAGGTTTGTTTTCTATTAAAATGTCTTATGTTGCTTGTCAGGTAGTAACACTCTTCTTCATTTAGTTGACTTGAAAATCAAATTCTAATATTTAAAATAGTTAATCATATACAAATTATGATATTTTTGTGATAACACCCTAAAACTATGTTATTGTATGTAACACTTGGGAGTATGACTTCACTGTGAATTTTTATCTGTCAGTGCAGAGAATGACCTGTGTGGTGAGGAAGATTTCAAGTGTTTAGTGGGTTTAACATCAGAGGTAGCAGCACAGTGTACACAGAAAATGATGATATTGTATGGCAGGTTTCCTTTTTCCAGTTATGAGAATATCTGATCTGTGCTGAACCTTGGGACAGTAAGCTGCTTCACATGTCAGGACTGAGTTAAACACTCACTTGCTACAATATTGAAGTGAACTTAGTATGAACTTGTGTCACATTACATGGTTGAAACAATTAGAGAAACACAGAAGTTTTGGGAGGTTTTTAATGTGTGTATATATATACATAACAGTGTTTAAATTTTCAATGTTTGGCTTTTATTGTAGTGGGTATCAATTTTTTTTCAGTATTGCTTAAATTGTTTACCTTCTGTCTGAAAAATACTTACTGTAAGGAAAGAGAAGGTGTTGAGCGAGGTTGTGCTGTGATGTCCTATGAAATGAAGGAATAAGTGAGGCTGTAGTTGAGGGAACATGTTGAGCTAAGCTGGCAGTGCCATGGGGGAACACCCCAGCCTTGTGCACCTGCCAGCTCCCACTCCATCCCTTATGCTGGCCTGCTCACCTGGGCAGGTGTGCAGTGGCCAGGTACAGAGCATTGAGGGGCTGCCATAGGGTGTTAAAGGTATGAAAAGAGAAGTTACTTCAGGTCTCAAACACTGCTGGAGAGAGACTAAACATTATTTAAGGAAAAAGGAATTGCAACGTGTTACCTTCTTTTGTATAAACAATGTAATATCTTTAGCTTTAAGTTTTTTAATACCTTTTTTTTTCTTTTTCTTCCCTTCTTCCTGCTCTCCCATCTCTCCCCCACCTCCCAAGAATGCCATTTTGAAAACGATCAAAGAATTTCACCTTTGGAATCTGCTCTGTCTTCCTGGACTTTACTTGAAAGGGAAGAAAGTAAACTGGAAAAACTTCACGAAGAGATTCGTCGCCTTATTCAAATCCAGGTCTGTGACTTGCTCAGAATGCCCCAGGATGGCCCCTGTTCAGCCTGCTGAAACGAGGCTCTGTCTGCAGGCTGAGCTGAATTTTCTATTTGTTGGGTTTTCAAGTACAGAGTAAATCTGTACAGGGGCTTTATCCTACCCAAATTGGTTCCTGTTTGTCCCAGTTCAAAATAATTTCAAAAGCTGCCCATCAAAAAGAATAATTATATATCAATTGAGAGAGCATTTTCAGAACACTTGAGGCTGTGGTCTGGTGGATAGGGAAATGTTGGTTTGACTTGGGGAACCTAGAGGTCCCTTCCAACCATAGTGATTCTGTGATTCTATCTTGAGCTTTAAAACAGGTTATGAATAGCTTGCCTTTTTTTTTTTTCTTAAAATAATTCTTTGTATTAGAAATCTTTTTATTTCAAAGAGAAACGTGAGAAACATGACAACTACTGGGACTATGAAAGTCTTTCAAGGAAGGATGAAAGCAATACTTAGTAGAACAGTATGGGATATTTTGCATCAACAAGAATCCTTTTAAATGCCTAATGGAGAGGTTTTAGGCCTTTAGTATTAATTCAGAATTAACTGTTCTAATTGGATAAGTATTGGTAACCTTTAACTATGTCATCCTGGGAGTTCAGAAGTCTCACCATGCTGTGAAAGTGTGACCTCTTGTTTTTTCTGAAGCTGTGGTGAAGTCTGTCAGCATGTGCTGTGGTTGCATTTGTTGTAGGTGGTAGCAGTCCATATGGAACAGGGCTATTTCAGGGAGGCTGCTGAGGCCCTCGAGAGGCTCTTCACAGGCTCGGACTCAGAGAAGGTACTCGCTTCATGAACCTGCATTAAGCTCTCTCATTTCCAAAGCAGAAGAGAGGAATGGGTTTCCAGAGCTAGCAAAAGCTACATAGCTTCATCCTAATTACTGCCTGTGTAGCTGTACACCAGGGGCACTTAAAAACATAAAATGAGATTTGTGGCTAGGGGACTGATAGAAATAATGGGTGATTTGGGCAAGTAAAATGCTTCGAGCAGCAGTAGTATAGAGTGCATATTATTACACCTCCACCTGCAAAGATAACACGTGTGTCAGGCTACCCCTTTTTTGATGTTGACTACATCATTCAGAAAGATGCAAGTTTGAGTGCTCTTTAAAATAATAGCTAATACACACACCTAAATTTGCTGGCATGAAGGAAAGCGTGAAAGAGGCTCTACAGGCACAAGGAAAAAAGCAAAACTCCTACCTCCATCTTCTCTGGTATATTAGGACATGTTCTATGTAAATAGCAGTATGTTTATAACTTTCCAGGTATGCACATCATTCAGAAGCTTCAGATGTTCAGAAAGTGTAGGCTGTTGTAATAGTATTTAAATTCATCAGTAAGAATGCAGCCTGTACACTGCAGTTAATTCTTGGCTCTCTTGGTCTCTGTAAGATGCAGAGTGGTTGGTAGGTAAAACGTGAACTTGGGAATGTCAGTATCATTGTGTCCTCAGTGCTGCTGTTCTCAATAGTCCATTCCCTGAGCACTGCAGCCCATTTCAGTGGCAGTTTTTACTGAAGAGTGTTTAATTTATAAGAGGCCTTCTCTGGCTGTGTTTACTTCACTGGCAACCCTGTGTTCAGTGTTACTCATAAAGGGGAGCACAATGAGGATCTCTGGGAAGTTACACTTGCCTGTTTACTGAGCCCATAAAGAAACCAGTGTTATTATTAATTAGTATTAAAACTGGTGTTATGCCTGGTTAACTTCAGAGCCCTCTCAGACTGGAGCATGGAACTGTGGAGGCCTGTTCAGAACACCCTGTTACCCTGATGCTCAGCTCCCTGCATGTCACACCTAGCACAGATGCCAGGTTCATTGCAGAATGTTTTCCTGTTGTGTAAAACTGTGCCTTTTTTTAGCCTTTAAGGGTGAAGCTGGCAACTATAGTTAAAGGCAAGGATCCATATGTTCCTCTTCTCCAAAGCTTCAGTTACAATCTTTTGGTAAATAAAGTCAAGGCTTACATTGAACTTTTCATGAAAGAAAATCAAACCAACTTCTTAACACAGGTATGTCAAAAATGTTTTCAAAACTTAATTCCAAATAAGTACCTCGTAAGATTAAGTAGATTTATACTTTTAAGGGGATTGTTTAGACAATATTAAGTTACTGTATTAGATAAAAAGAGAATTTTGTCTTCCTTTGGATTTTTTTTTTTAAAAGTTGAATATACGTTAAAGAGAAATCAAGAGCAAGGCTCCTAAAATCTTCCATGATTTTTTTTTCATAATTCTTGATAAGAAAAAATAGGAAAATAATATAATTTAAATGAGTTCTGTCATTAGTGTATGTTTGAGAGAAACAGTTCTGATCTGAGACTTATTAAAAGATAATGTAACTATATTTTTAAGGTTTATTTTGTGACTTCTTGTACTCAAATGAAAAGATCAAGACCTGTTAATTTGGCTAAAAGCTTTGGGGATGTCAGGGGAGTTAAGAGATAGAAAACTATTATTGCTGTTTGCCTGTAAATAAAAAGAAAAACTTCTTGCTAACCATCTTACTCAAAAGTGATTTAAAACTGGCAAGAACAACATTCCTCCTGCAGTTCATATTCAGGAGGATTGTAAAGAATGTCTCTTATGCTTACTTCCTGTAAAAGAATATTGAATTACTCAATTACAAAAGCACAAACATCTAAAGGTAGTAAGAAGCAAATTTTAAATAAACAAACCTGAAGTTCCTCTGGGGTTTCTGTTTTATTGCTGGTAAGAGAGAGTAGAGCACTTATTAAATGCATTCAAAGTCTAGTACAAGAAGTACCTTTTGAAGGCTTCACTCAGCTGTCAGTTTAAAGGCTGTGTCTTTGAGCCGAAGAGGAGCTGGAGGTTTGGGGATGTCAGGGAAGGCCTGGAACTCCATAGTGGCATACCTGGGCCCTCAGTGTTGCACCCCCACTGCCTGCACATCCCTCCTACTGTCTGTACCAAGGCTGCACAGCTTACTTGTGAAATCTTGTCTTTGGACTGAATTACTCTTGCACATGGAGGAGACACCTCTGTGGCCAGTTCTCACTTCTGCTGTGCAATACATGTAACTGCTTCTCAGCAGTGTGCCCTGCATCCTCTACAGAAAAACACTCCTGTCCTTAATTATTAATCTCTTCTTTCTTCTAGTGTCATACGGAGAAGTAGAAACATAGAGTAGTTTGGGTTGGAAGGACCTTTAAAGGTCATCTGCTGCAACCTCCCTGCAGTAAGCATGGACATCTTCAGCTAGTCCAGGTTGCTCAGGGTCCCAGCCAGCCAGATCTTGAAAGTTTAATTCATTTCTCTTTCAAAAGAATTGCTTTTAGAGACAAGTACAACTTGAAAGCCAGTGTTTACTTCTGAAACACAATAGAGTCAATTGATTTTTTTTTTTAAAACTAAACCCTTTCTACCTATCTATCTGTATGGAAAAGTGTTCTCTCCCTCACACACGTTCTGCTGCCATCAACCGCTGTTAAAGAGCCAGTATTTTGAAAACTTACAGCTGGGAGATGTAGTAGTTTGGGTAGCTGTGAAATTTCTGATGGTGAGAAACCTTCTACTGTGATTAGAAGTATTCTTTGACCAGATTGCCTTCCAGTATTTTCATGCAAGTATTTGTTGTGTTTTTGTGTCCATATAAATATCACTTGCAGCTATGACAAATTTATCTTGAGTTATTAGCTGATAAAGATCTTGATGGATTTCAACTTAACACACTAAAGATATTTTGAAACCACTTATTTTAATGGTAGTACCTATGATGGGTCTGAAGTAAGCACTCTTAGTCCTAATAGGCAGTACAGTTATTAATCTTACTAATCAGTTAATAGTGTAAACTATTTAGGTACAAGCTGGCTCTAATTTTAAGGTGTCGGTTCTGTTTTTCACAGGCAGCCACAGAAAAGGTAGAATCTGAAGGACTGGGAGCAACAGCATTGCAAAACACAGCTGTGAATGTCAATGACTGTGACAAAAGGAATTTGGAAACAAAGCAAAGGTTTGTATTAAGCATTATACTGCTGAGGAACATACTTGGACAATAAACTGAAATGTAGAACTAAGGAAGGACTTTAAATTCCATACTGCTGTGCAGGAGAAAGTGAACGACAAGCACATCCTCTGTTTTTGTGTTTTGGCTTTTCTGTGGTTGTTAACTTCTGGCATTTACATCAGAGAGCTTTGCAGTAAGTTTAAGTACTTGTTGAAGATGCACATTTTTCAGCTTTAGCAGCTGTCCATCTTGTATAACAATAATACCATAGAAATACTTTATTTTGAAAAATACAATATTCTGCATTTATCACCACTTCTTTTCATGGAGAATAAATAGTCTTTAGTTGGGATGGAGCTTGTAGTTCTCCAATTTTATACTTGGCATTATTTAATTAAGGACATTGACTGATGGAGACAGTACATAGGAAGACAAGTCAAAAGATTTTTATTTTTAGAAGGGCACCTCCTGCCACAATTACATCTGAGAAATATGATGAAAGTCTTGATCAAAAAAATCTATGGAAACAATTCCTAGATTGTGAAGAAGGTATGGAAAAACAGATGTGCAAAATGCCTCACGTCTTCAGCCTTCAACATACAAATGTATCATGTCTTGTGTGTCTCTTCTCCAGGTATAGGGAAGCATAAGAGTTAATGGATTGAAGCAGTTAGTGTTTGTATGCCACTGTTTCTGTAGAGAAGTCCTGGAATTTTCTTTCATTTAAATATTGTTGAATCACATAAATGGCAAGCTGCTGCCTAGGAAACTAATGAGGGGCAGGGGGAGCTTTTTTAAAAGATCAATGAAGGAGCAAGAGGATATTACAACTCAGTCACCTGGAGACATAAAAAACCCTGCAGTAAGGTGAAAATTATTTTTTGTTGTTGCTCTTGGTGACAGACATCTCGTCAAGTTCTGTGTATCTTTACTTCAGTTCTGTGTTCCTTGCAGGCCTCATTCAGGATGGAAAACCAGAGTGGGCAGTGCTCTTCAGAGTGAGTATTAGCTTTTTACACTTTCAAAGCACTCATGTCAAATGCTTTCTCCCTTCCCCTGCACCTCTCCCACAGTAAATGAGTTTGTGAGTTGATAGCTGCTGTCCAGTGTGACTGGATTCATATAAAAATGGCTGTGGTAAAAGAGCCCTCCCAGCAGCTGTGTGGTTTGTGCACAAACCCAGGTTTGGTGACTGACATGTCAGGAAGCTGTGACATGGCTTAAGGTTCTCTGGCAGCTCATTTTGTGCAGTCATTCGCCACTCTCTGGTTCATTTTGTTTGCTGTACTGGGATTTACAGGAGTCTGTGCAAAACAAAGCTGACAGAGGAATGCTGGAACTTAGCTCTGAATTCTGGCCTAGGTATCTCGAGGGGATGGAACCACAGAGCTTGGCTGACTGAAGAAACAAGTCAGCTACTGTGGGGGCCACACTGTTAGAATGTTCCAGCATCATCCTCATATTACTTTTTTAAAACTTACAATGTGGATTATATAATATTTATAAGTAGCTTCTGAAAACCATTAGCATTCTCTTACCACAAAGGGATGACATTATAGCTTCTGCCTGTGGCTGTATTGTGCTTGGAGGGAAAAACTCTCAAGATGCTTTGGATGCTTGCCACGGATAGAACCTGACCCATGTCCTTGTGGTGAGGATGGAAGCTATACACAAAGTATCATAGTTCTGATGTATTCCCTGTGTAAAAGGAGAGCAGCACGATAGCAAAAATGTTTCTTTTTCCAAAGTGAAATGTTTCATTATTCTATACCAATTTTTACCTAATTGTTTAAAACGGTTTTTCTGTGAGCTCTGCTGAACAGAAAACACAGTGACCTTTTGTGAACAGACTATTTTTTGAGTCCTTGAAACTAAGGTGAGGTTCATGTACGTGCATATGTAAAAGTGTAGTCACAAGTAAACAGACACTGATGTTTTCCCAGTCTGGCAAAGCATACTAAAATAGTGTACATTTTGTCTCCTGTAAACAGCAGAATCCAAAACTGCTGCCTTTAATGTTGATGATTCATTGGGTTACATATATATATATTGACTGTCTTCTAGGTCTGGACAGCTTGCAAAATGTGGAAAAGAATGGAGAGGCTTTGGTGTGTGGCCGAAGACGACAGGTTTGTACCCATCCTCTGTTCTAAATGGAGATAAAGTGAATCTACACTACATAGACATTTTCTTCTCAGCTTTGTCTCTGTCTCCAGAATGTCTGAGTTTAAATTCTCTACATTACTCAAGCTGTGCTACAGCTCCTGAAAGTTCTTCTTAAGTTCTATTTTTAAAAAAAAAGAACCTCTTTTGTTCAGTCTCAAGTACCATTGCTAATGCTTATGAGCCTTCAATTTGTGCAATTATGCTGTTACTACTAAAGCTTAGTCTGAGTCTTTTTAAAATGGAGGGGGAAATCTTTACACTGTTTGGATTAAAGAATTCAGGATGTCAGTGGCAATGCCCATGAGAGTTTTGAGCAAACATCAAAGATTTTTTTGTTTACCCACCTGAAAGGTTAAAGATTTAGCAGTTTTATAATTCAATACTGTTTGTATGAGGTGAAATTATGTATTTACTTGGGAAACTATTCTAGTTTTTATAAATCAGATAATAGGGTCTTTTTGTAATGCTACAGTTCAACCAGTCCTTTTCATTCTCTTCATGGCTAAGCCTTCTTTATTGAATTACTTCAACAAAATTCTGCTATGTTCACTAAAGCCAGAATCTCCTGTTGGGGGAAAGTACAGAATTGCAAGCCTTAATGGAAGGTAACTTGATTTGATGTTGGAGTGAACTCTTACAAACTGATTTTTGCACATAGCCAATTTTCCTCCTCATGATAAAATTATAAACACTTCTGAATGAAACTGATATTAAATAAATGTATTGCCATTGTTGAATCCCTCTTGAGAGTAACTCTTAGGAAGCAATATGGAGTCTTCCTGTTCAGATAACAGTGCAGGCTGTCAACATACATCCATTTTGGTGTGAGCTGTTTCATTTTTCTGGTCTTCATTTTGACATTTTTCAAATGCTAGAGAAGGACAAACCTGCTGGTGTTTGTTCACATTGCCCTTGAGGAGAATTGTACTTGTTCCTAGTTCTTCAAGCATTTTTAGTATAGTTGAAGTGCTAGTTTAATTTTCAGTTACATGCTCTCCTCAAATTGGTTGAGGTCTGGATGAGAATTGATCTATCCTTGAAGGTTAAGGTCCCTGCTACATATAAACAGTTTTTCACTTTCTCACAAATCTCAGGAATAGTTAAAACACTGTGAGGCTCCTTAAAAGCTGCCAATGTAACCAGTGCCCTAAAACAAAAAATCCACTCTTCCTGAATTTGCTTGTTTCCAAGTCTAGGGCTTGTGCACACATCTTACTAGAAAATAAATAGGTGTCGTGCTTAATTCTGTCATAGTTGAACCTTAGTTGAAATGTAAAGACTAAATCTGTAGAAAACTACATCTGATAGTAGTGATCTCATTGAGAATTTTGTAAAAAATTGGGATAAATTCAGATTCAGAACTGGTTCTTTCAGCACTTAGAAGAGTAGGCATTTGCTGTCTGTCATAATCCTTACCAGTGAGACCCCTCATAAATATTGTGTAAAAATCAAGTATATTGTCCTTTTAAACAGTAAATCTGTTCATCAGCTTAATAATTTGGGTTATAAAATTGTCTGTGTGCATGAAAGAATGCAGTGGACGTCAGAGCTGTTGACTTCTAGAGCTTCCTTTTCCACGTCGTCCCTCTTTCAATGTTGGCATTGTTTGCTCCTGTTTTGTAAATGGCATTTCACTGCAATGGTTCAGTGCCCATTTTCAGCCTTTCATTGCTCTCTTTTCTCTTAACTGCAGCCACCAATCTGCAGTGCTTACTGAAAGCAAGTGTGCTTTATTTTCTCCTTCCTAAATTAGGGAATGTGCCACAGAATTTGGGGAGCTGTACTCAACTTTCTATCTGGTATGTGTGTGGCGAGTACTGTGAGTTGTCTAAAATCTGACTGACAGTTTGCTTAAAGAATGTGGCTGAAAATATGGGTTTTCAGAATTTAGTCAGACTTGTATAGAAAACAAATTCCATATATTTCAACTTGGAGGAAAAAAAGATCAGAGCCAAGTACGAGAAAGCACAACCAAAGGAAGACAGGCTCTACCAGAGCAGAGCTGACTGAGGAACGACGAGATATGTGCGTGCATGTGTCTCTGCAGTCTGGCAAACTCAGGCTTGCTCTGCCAGCGTTCTGAGCTGCCCAGGTGTCACATGCCAGCTTGCTGTGTGCCCCCCGGGTGGTGTTAGCTCAGGCACAGTGCTGCAGTGTGGCCAGTCCCTCATCTCCGCCGGCCTTGGGCAGAGGGGCAGTTCCTTAGTGGACAGGTCAGTCTCTGGCTCACCTGTAAGGCAGGCTCCTCACTGATATGTTAAACTGAGGAAATGTGCTTTTTGGAAAAGCAAAGCAAGCAAGAACAACCCTTTGAACAGCAGATGTAATTCATCTTTACAACGAGTAACAAGGGTTGTGATTGTCTGTTGCTGGAAGTATCTGAATTATCTGGTGCTGTAGGTCAAGCATGACTATGTTACTTGAATAAAGATTTTATTTAGGGAGGTTTTCTTGCATTTTCTGAAATGATGTGAACTAGATGGTTTCAGTGGAATCTTGGCCTTTTAACAGTCACAAAAACCACCATTCACTCCTAATGTTGCCAAGTTCTGTGGAAGGGGAAGTGTTGGAAAAAGGAAGTATTTCTGATGAAGGATGTGTACTACTTGATGGAAATTTTAGGTTTCTAACTGTTTTAAAACACAGCTGAACTACCACCACTCTTAATGCTTTCTCTGCCCAGTGAGGTTTCCCAGTGACCACGGTTTCCTGAAGAGGTGCTGATGGCTGTGTTAAGCTGGGCTACACCCAGCTCTCAGATGTGAAGTCTGATCTTCACATACCTTAGCTTGCACTTTTATGTACCTGCCAAGTTTTGGCTTGCTGCAGAATAACCAGACTACAATTTCAGTGGGGCTGAATGTTACCTAAGCTGCTTCCCTCTCAGAGGAACCCCTCACCATTCACCTGAGTGCTGCTGCCACTTCTAGCAGCTTAAATTCCAGGGAAGGGGGAGCCATGCAGGGTAGCACTTGGAATTCTCCCGTGACCCATCCCCAGTTCCTCAGTTGCCCTTGCTCTGAAGGGGAGACTCTTTTAAGGCTCCCAGGTGGGGTTTCTCTGAGTGTCCTTGGAGACGTGGGTCTGGTACCAGGGGGGTGGTGCTGACTCGCCCTGGATTGTCCTGCCCAGCCACCCCTTGCATGTTTGTGTAATGACAGCAGCCATGAGATCTGCATTTCTACTGGCAGGGTTAAGTGGTATGTTTCTTCCCCTGGAATTCACAGATTTCCTCTGTACTACTCAGTTCTACTAACTGGCTACCAATTTTAAATTTTTGTAGGTTGATGCAGCTTTGTGCCTCACCCTTTGCAACTGCATTTCCTTTTCCTACCCCATTTTTCACAGTGTTGAAAGTTCCAGGTGTAAAGTTCTCATTTTCCCTACCGCTTTATAGCCAACATCATTTATCCATTTATCATTGGAAGTGATCTGTGACTTGGAGGACATATTCTGTACAACCTTTCTTCTCATCCCCCAAACTACAAATTGCAGGCCTTCAGCTTCAGCCATTTGCACATCCTATTGCTCTTCTGATATTCTCTAACATCTTCCTTATGTTGTTTGGTTCGGGTTTTTTTTCCCCCCAGTTCAGTGACTGATATATGCTGGTCATGTACCAGTATGATTAGTTGGGTATTAAGCAAGCAAGGATTTGAAGACCTTTGCAGAAAATCAGATTCTAGCAGAATAAGTTGTTTTAAAATAATTTCATATGAAAGTTGCTAATTGCTATTCCAGAGTGAAGAAATAACTGTATGCATAACCTATATTAAAAATGCAGTAGTTAAAAATGGGCATGATAGGATATATAAGATCTGTAAACTTGTTACATGTATGTATTTTTCTATGAAGCCACTATAAAATAGTTGTTTCTCCATCATGCTTTACTGTAAAGGTAAGTTTTTAAAAATCAAGTATTTGATTTTTGAAAAATGCATTTTTCTTTCACCCTGCCCCTTTTAAATTGTTTGTATTGAGATGTTTGTGTTGAGGAGCAACTGGTACACTGGATAACTTCATGGGAAGGGATTGCTTATAGATGTGTAACTGCAACTAATTTTTTTTTCCTTTTGTGAGAGAAATGTCACCCCCTAAAGGTTAAAAAGCCTGTAGGTTGTGACAGTCAGACTTTAGTAGTGGGCTCAACAAACGGCCAGGAGCAAGTGCCTGGCTGTTACCTGAGATATTGCTGTTCTCACTTTCAAATGCAATATGTATCAGTTTGCTTATGTCAGCATTTTAAACACTGGGGTTTTTTTTCTGAGCACACTGCACTGCCTGTGTTGGTAAATGGTGTCTTCATTTGCAGTCTCCCCATTCATGTGTCACCAAACGCTTCCTCGTGCCGTTAGCTGATGAAGTCCAGTTTGGAGAGCACGTGTTGAGCGAAGAAAAACTTTGTCCTTTGCCCTCCCCTCCCTTCTAATGCCTTTCTCTGATCATGTATCTGGTGTTTTCTCTTCTTCCCCCAGCGATGGACCTACAAAGAAGACTTGGAGCTGAGATCAGGAGTAAGGGAGTTTGGAGTGGGTAACTGGGCTAAGATTCTGGTCCACGGTGACTTCAACAACCGAACCGGTGTCATGCTGAAAGACCGGTGGAGAACACTGTGCAGGATTGAACAGGGCTGATCTGGACTGCAGGAACCAACTCTTCATGAACTTTCTCTGCATAAGGACCTCGTCTAGCTTTTCAGAGTAATACCCTACTGTAGTATGAGTGTTCAGCGGTGTTGCTGTCCTGCAGTATGAGGAGCGATAGGTATGAACGGTTCATGTCAGCTCAGCTGTGTGGGCAACGATGGCTTAAACGTAAAGCCTGGCCTTCTGCCCCTGCCCAGGGGGTCTAACTCTGCCCTAGCCTCTGACAATGCCTGCAGTGGCTTGAGGAAGGCCAGGCACGTACACAGGGGCATGGAAGGACTGGCAGTGTGTAGCTGCATAGTGGCTAATAGCCAAGTGTTCTGTTCTTAAAGGGTTGTGTTTCTAGTCAGACTGAGCTTGATACCATTTTCCTTCCTGCTGTCCTAACCCATTCTAATGTGGTTTTGTTTCACTGTGGTCATACCTGTTATCTGTCAGGAGGTTATTCCAAAAAAATGTCTGTATTGGTATTGTCCATCCTAGGAACTGATTCCTTTTTTTTTTATTTGAAAAATGTGATACTCCATGTAATTTTGTATTTATAACTGGTAAAGGGGTTGGGGTTTTATTTTTTTAAAGAATTGAGCTTTGATTCAAGGTGGAAGGTTATTTTGAACTTGTGTATATGGGCATAGTGACACTAGCCTGACCAAAGAGATGGAAAACACATGCAAAGCAACAGTGTGATACTAGCTTTTAACATCTCTTGACTACCTTGAGGAGGTGCAGTATGCAGCCTCTTCAGTGCTGTAACAGTAATTCCAGGTAAGTAACAGGTAGCAAAATAGGATTTGAGCTACCTGCATAGCAGTCTTGCCAGTTCTCTCATACTAGAGGTTCCCATGTTGACCCTTGTCCAGGAGCAGTTCTAGCCAGTCAGAAGTAGTTGGTTTTAACGTTAGCCAAGGCGTTAGCCACACAGCCTTCCTTAGGCTGCTCTGCCATGATCTTCACACTGCAGTGGTGCCACCAAGGCCTGAGCCTGGCTGGTCAGACAGCTCTGTGGAGGAACACTACCAATCCACTGGTGATTTAAACACGCCCAGGTGATACTGGGAAGGAACAAGGGATCTAAACTGAAGCCCAGTTCTAGCTCTCAAACTTTAGTTTTTATTCACCCTTGCTATTTAATGAAGACAGCATCTATTCTCAGACTTGGGAATGTTTGGCTGGCTCACTGCTGCATAGCAGCAGTGCCTGTAGACAGAACTGTGGCTAGTAAGGAACAGGAACTTGAGGAAAGGCAGCTACTACATTTAGAAACATTAGCTCTTTAATGACAAACAGGAAACATGGAAATGTGCTTCTAGTGCTCTAATACAGAGATCAGTCCTAGCGTTTTGTATTAAGGCAGAGAGAGTTTCCCAAAATGCTGCTTCTGAAGTTTGGGCTCCTTTAAAGTTTGTTTAGGCTCCAGAAAATGCAGTAGAAGGATGCAGGTTTCTTGGCATTGTATAAATTTTCTTAATATTTTGTTGTTGTTGTTTTAAAGGTCCTTTAAACTTTTATGTAAAAATAAAGCTGTGCACCAGGGGACATGAACAGTGCTCCAGCTGCCGGATCTTCTTCCACGTTCCTTGACACTGAGAGTTCCCAACTGCTTCCCAGTGTAAGATTTTACCTCTGAAACGTGACAGGAAATGAGAAATTAAACCACAGAAAACGGTACATATTATGTTACTAGGTTATGTTTTATAACATGTCAGAAGATTAGGTTTATTAACTAATACAAAACCCTAATTAGCCCATCTAGCTCTTAAAGTGCTCCGTGGAGCAGGCACTGCATCCCCAAGCACAGCACGCAGGACGGTGGGTGAGCAGCTCTGTGCACAGGTGTTTAGTGTGCATATGTATAAATGTCCATCAAACAAAAACCTGTTCCAAAGTTTAAACGTCTGCTTTCAAAATTACTAGTCTAGGAACCAAGTCTATAGCCTTGAAAGGAGTACAGATCACCACTGTTAAACCTGGAATCTGATTTGGACTAGGGGAGAAAACACCATTTTTAAGTAAAGCTGCCCATAACTGCAGAAAGTTCTCTTGCACTAGGGAAGGTGCACGGTCCCTGCAGAACAGGAAATAAATCCTGCAAAGCACTGAGCTCTTACCCTGAAATTACTTCCCAATTTATCTAGCTTTTAGAAGCCATTTCGGTGAGAACTGAAAGGGGAAATCTTCGCCGTGCCAGTGCTGTGTCAGTCTTTAGGTGTGCAGTTTTTACCGGGACCTCTCGATCCCGGCCCCGCCG